TGAAATCGAATCCGAGGTCCTAATTTCTGAACTAGCGAGATATCCTAACCTAAAAGTGCTAAAATCGCGATTTTTTGACATAATTGAGGTTATGTTACATGGATAGGTACCTTTTGGGGTCTTAAAGTACGATACATACTCTTTAAAACGCATTTGGATTTATCCCGATATTAAATTTTGCAATAAACTTAAAAACATATCTAAAAATTACCTATAACATAACCTCAAATATGTAAAAAAAATCGCGATTTTGGCACTTTTAGGTTAGGATATCTCAAAAACCAGAGCTAGTTCAGAAATTTGTATCTCGGATTCGATTTCAGCGTACCAAAATCCTTTGTGAAAGTATATTTGCGTTGTTGGGTTAAAATCTAGTCGGCCTGTGTTATCTAACAATTCTTTTTGATGAGGAAACGGTTTTATTACTTTAAGTGCATTATTTTTCATCGATGTAGAAATAAAGATTTTAAATTTCGCCTACATAGAAACTCCCATTATAATACCTACTGTTTTGTACGATTATACAAGGGCAACTTTTCCTGTGTGACAAGTGAATAAAAGTATACCTATAACTACCTATAACTAGTATTTGTAAAAATAGAGTATGATGTCCTGACACTGTTAATACTGAATTTAAATATGAAAATATTGGTTGTAGCTGTTTTCCTTGTTATAATAATATTGATTAAAACTGTGTTACCAGAACTTCCTTGTCAGCTTGAAAGTTACAGGTGTGATAAGTAGATCAAATGTTTAATTTTTCCAGCTAGTTCATGTACTTTTAGTATGTTATACGAAGTAGTTGAAAGATATACAGTGTTGATTTTTTAGAGGCACCGCAGAAGGACAGAATTTTTCCCAATACTGTCCCTGAATTTTGAAATTTTCACTTCAAAAACCTTCAGTGGCATGCGAGATATGGCAAAAATAAATTAATTGTCTCAAATGCTTGGAAAGCTATAGTAAAGTTTTAGTAAAAAATTGAAAATCATCCTGTACATCACTCTCTGCTGTTACAGTTAGTAAAATTCACCATCCACCACTGCATCCCTATAAAAAATAGTGTCCTATTTCGACATAATATTCTTCATGATATATTTGTTTATCAACTCTAGACTGCTTCAATTGCCTCATTATTATCTGCAAATTTTTTACCCTACAAATATTCAACGAAACGTCCAATTTCAAGAAGAATCTGATAGCGCCAAGTTTGGACAGCATGGTGGATACTGTATTTCCTCATATCAAAGTGTGTCTAGTGGACTTATTAATAGTATAAGAGAGTTTAGACTACATCATAAGCTCCAGCTTGCTACCGAGTGTTTCTATCGAGTACTAGTCACAATTTAACCTTTTTCTTTGAAGTTTATAAATATTTTGATACCGACACCCCGAAGATTATCGTGACATAGACGAGCCGGCGAAGCAAGAAGAGCGCCAGAAGAAAGGGCCCTAGCCGGCGGGGCCCATCCAGGACAAAAGGAGGTCCCACAAAGCGCCTACACCGGCCGCATTTGCGGTCGGGGTAGACGACGGATGGGGCCCACCTACCAAGGCTGTCCAGGCGTACACGAGATGATGCAGGATAAAGAGGGATAATCCCCCTCGATCCCAAATCATTGAGGCCAATTTCTAGCCATGGAATAATGGCGCGGTCTAACCTTCCCTTCGATTCCAATGATTGCTTCTTATGTTTTGGTTACTAACAATAAGTGTGATTCCAAGACTATCTATAGATTGAGAGAATGTTTTCCGGGTTAAAAATTGACATATGAAAGCGATAATAAAGGAGGTGGAGCAAAATTTGTTAAGAATCACACCAAACTTTTTATCCGCATGTTTCTGGTGCAAACAATGATACTATCTCAAAAACTTGGACCTAAATAATTTCTGTGAGTATTCTTATAAAAACGTTATTAAACAATTCTTGTTATTTTATAACTTTCCCTCGCATATCGTGGACATGTTTAACGAAGTCGAGAGAAACGTCTTAGTCCAGATTCGATGGTATCCAAGTGTCTCTACGGGAAAGGTCAAGTGGTGTTAAATCCGGTGACCTGGACAGCATTTCTATTGTACTGTGGGATCTTGTATCAATGTTTATCTATGTTATTTTAATATTAATTCTATGTTTAAAGTTTTCAGTTTATTAACAAATAAATGCTACTTGAAATAATTAGATACTAAAATTAATAATGTAAAAAATGCAGACTTTACATAACATATAATTTTCTAAAGTACAAAAGAACAGGTAACTCTTGTGTAAAGTACCAACTCTTTTTCACTAGTGGGACAAAGTTGTTACTTTATACTATTCTCCATGTGGGTATATCTAAACTTTTTATATAAAAATTTGCAGTATTCGATGAAAGATGCTATAAAATTGGAAATAGGCAATTTCCTTGGTTAATTAAGGTAGCTTTAAATGTTGGCATTCGCCTATAAATAAACAATATAAACAAACTAGGCCGAAATATGTTAACATTAAACGTATGAATCGCGGAACAAAGCATGATAATACCACTAACCCAAATGTATGTAAAAGTAATGTACATTTTTACTTTTTCTCACATAAAATGTTTGTTTTAATTGTAGGTAATTCAGGAACCAGCAATAAAGTGAAGCGGAATTTTATTATGTTTTTAATTGGCAAAACTTTATGGGTGTAATAAATTATTCTAAGTGATTATATTTGGAATTATATAAAATAGGTTTTGTTTTAATTGACATAGATGTATTCACTATTATTTCGTAGGAAACAAATAACTTCATTAGTAAATTGTTACGTAAACAACAATACAATGACAGTGTAATAAACATAAAATATTATTTCAATATCACTTGTTAAAATTTTGCTCATTTAAAAAAAATACAAATTTTTCAAAAATATGTCAAGATGTATACAAAATTTACCACATGTACACCAATTTGCTGTTTTTATTATATTTTACCTCAGTGAATAGGAAAAGATGTTACATTATTTAAAACTATTTAAAACTGTGACAAATTTTAAATTGATGGAAACAAATATTCATATGCTAAAAAAATGTAACCCCTTTTTTTTCTAATAGCACCTATATATCTTGTAAAATGTAAATATATTTTTTATAGTCGCATAAATAAAAATATATAGGCTGTTTCAGAAATACCTCTCGTAAATGATAGTACGACAAAAAAATAAGATTTTTTTTGTCATATGAACTATATATCTATATCCTCTTGTTTTCGAGATACACAGGGACAAAATAAAATTTTTTGAATAGAATTTTTACGAAAATTTCCAAACGGTGGGAAATATTTTTATAAAATTTGGTATTCCGAGGTTTTTAAGGACGCCAAATACATTGGTCTAATTATTTTTTTGGATATTTCATAGAGGGCGTTAGTTATGCTATATTCGTATTACATTTTAAGTTCTAATTTTTTTAAGGTTAAATTTTTTACCATTCGGGCTCCAATTTCTAATGTACAATTTTATTTTATAAAAATAATGTATTCTTGTTAGAACTTCCTAATGTGGATGGTTTTCGAGAAAAAAAAGCTTTTAATTAAACTCTTACAATATTACGGTGTATAAAATAAGTGACTTTTCTCAAACTAGGCTTGTTAAAACTTATTGATGGATGTCTGATAAACAACGCATACATTCTTAGTAATATTTTAAACTATAATTAACCTTATATCAAAATTTTAGTGACTGTAATTAGTCATTACTAGCTACAGTCACTAACAATTACTAAAATTTTGATATAAGATTAATTAGAGTTTAAAATATTACTAAGAATGTATGCGTTGTTTATGAGACATCCATCAATAAGTTTTGACATAAGCCCACTTTGAGACAAGTCGTAATATTGTTAAAGCTAAATTAAAAGCCGTTTTTCTAGAAAACCGTCCACATTAGGAAGTTCTAACAAGAGTACATTATTTTTAGAAAATAAAATTGTACATTAGAAATTGGTGCCCGAAGAGTAAAAAACCTAACCTTAAAAAAATTAGAGCTTAAAATGTAATAGGAATATAGCATAACTAGAGTCCTCTATGAAATATCCAAAAAATAATTAGACCAGCGTATTTGGCGTTCTTAAATACCCCGGAATACCAAATTTCATACAAAATTTTCGCACCGTTCGGAAATTTTCAATAAAATTCTATTTAAAAAATGTTATTTTGTCGCTCTGTATCTCGAAAACAATAGAAGATAGACATATAGTTCATATGAAAAAAAATTCTTATTTTTTGTCGTACTATCACCCCCTGTATTTACGGGAGGTCTTTTTGAAACAGCCTGTATAATATTATTTCAATATCACTTAAAATTTTGCTCATACTTTTAGAAACTTTAGAAAAGTTTTTGAAAAATACAAATTTTCCAAAAATATGTCACGATGATATTCAATATTTACCACATTTACGCCAAGAAAATGTAATCTTTTTTTTGTCTAATGGTACATATTTTGTAAAATGAAATATATTTTTTATAAAGTCATAAATAAAAGTAGGTATATTGTCACAAATATATTTAAGCAATTGAAAAAATGAAAGTCCTCAAAAGACTTTATTTCAAAAATGCAGTATTTTTATTAAATNTTTGGAAAATCAAATTCAGCGTTTGTAAAAACCTTTACGTTTTTCAAATCAAATCCTGTTGTTTCCAAATCAAATAAAATCAAACAAATCCATTTGTGAACCTTTCATAGATTAAATTCGCTTATTACAAATCAGTTCGACCTTTTGCAAATCAAACTCAATATTCTACAAACCAGTTTCAAACTTGTGCCAATCATATTTACCTATTTGCGAATCTTTCACAAGATAAATCCACTTTGAGGAAGTCAATTCACTATATTTGCAAATCAAATCCAATCTTTTGCGATCGTGGGACCATTCGTAAATTAAATGGAACGTTTTCAAATCAAATTCACCTGTTTACGAAGCATTCATAAATAAATATTATTACCGAATGAATAAATAAGTAAATAAATAAATAAAGTCGTTACCTGTTACACCTATCCAAAAGAAAAATAATCCATTGGTCTGCCGAAGTCGATCATCACAAAGTTTCAACACAAAATCATATCACTAACATCCACAAAAAGTTCCTCAGGGCACAGATCTAAAGGTCTATTTCGAGTTCTTTAGGTGAGAAACAACAGTCCCAAAATTTGATCACAGGGACCGCACTGAGTAGATCTCAGATCTTTCAATGAACTTGTCCAGAGTTTCGTGGGTACAACGAATTTTAGTGCCGATCAGGAGCGACAATAACAAACACCATCGATATGTTGAACGGTATAAACACCTGTTGAGACTAACCGGAGGAAAATATCAAGTGAGCTCCGCTGCACAACCAGTCAGGTGAATGGAATACCCGGTCGCGTATTCCCAGCGTGGACGCCGGTGTCCGGAACGTTGGAGAAATTTCTACTCTCGGCCTAGCTGGGTTATACACGGTGTACAGGTTTTGCTTTCCGAAGTTAACTTTCTGCAGATCAAATTCACCTGTTTGTAAATCAGTTCAACCTCTTGCGAATGAAATTCACACGTTTATAAATCAAATTCAACTTACTACAAATTAAATTTAGGCTTTTGTAGATCAAACTCACAAGTGTGTGTGAAACTTCTCAAATAAAATTTCAAATCAAATTCAACTTTTTCAAGTTAAATTGATCAGTTTGCAAATAAAATTCTTTTGTTTGTAAATCAAATTCATTCGTGTATAAATCAAATTCACCATAATGCAAATCAATTTTAGGCTTTTGTAGATCAAACTCACACGTTTGTGAAACTTCTCAAAAAAAATACTAATTTTCAAATCAAATTCAACTTTTTAACTGTTTTTAAATCAAATACAACTTCTTCAAGTTAAATTGATCAGTTTACAAATAAATTTTTTTTTTTGTAAATCAAATTCCGTTATTCCCAAATCAATCACTATTTTTGCAAATCAATTTCATCCGTTTGTAAATCAAATTCAATTTTTGTTAGGACAAATAAAATTTACTCGTTTGTGAATCTTTAACAAAATCAATTTCAGCTTTTACCAATCAAATTTAGCGTTCTTAAAACAAATTCAACTTTTTGCAAATCGAAGACTTCCACTTTCAAATTAAATTCAACCTTTTGCAAATTCAAATTCACTGTTTTGAAATGAATATTCTGCGAATCAATTTCAAACTCGTGCCAATCAAGTTTACCCATCTGCAAATCTTTCACAAAATAAATTCACTCTTTCAAATCAATTGACCTGTTTATGAAACTTTGTTCGTAAATCAATTCGTCGTCTTGCAAATCAAATTCACACGTTTATAAATCAAATTCAGCTTACAGTAAACAAAATTTAGCCTTTTGTAAATTATATTTACACGTTTACGAATCAAATTCAACTTTCTGTAAATCAGATTCAGACTTTTGTAAATCAAATTCGTTTGTTCACTAATCAAATTCAACCTCTTACAAAATCTAATTCACCTTAATAAGAACCTTTTATACATCAAACTCCAATTCTTCTATTTACAAATCAAATTCACCTTTTCTCAAATTGAATTCATTTGTTTGTAAATAGAATTCAAAAATTTTTTAAATCAAATTCACTCGTTTGCGAAACTTTAATAAATACAATTCATTGTTTTCAAGTCAAATTAAACTATTTGCAAATCAAACACACCGTTTGTGAATCAAATTCAACTTTTGCATATTACATTGATCCGTTTGTGTGTGTGTGTGTGTGTACAATTTGTATTCACCCGTTTGAAAATAAAATTCTTTTCTTTACAAGTCAAATTCAGCTATTTCCATATAAAGTTCACGATTTTTGTAAATGAATTTCATACTTTTGTAAACTAAATTTAACTTTTTGTATAGCAAATTTAATCTTTCACAAATCAAAATATAACCTACAAAGCATATGTCATATATCATATACCATATCTCTAAATGTCAAACCTACTTCATGCCCACTGACATATGTACCTCCTTTTCAATTTCACTTACCTGCAAATCAAATTCATTGTTTGGAAAATCAAATTCAGCGTTTGTAAAAACCTTTACGTTTTTCATATCAAATCCTGTTGTTTCCAAATCAAATAAAATCAAACAAATCCATTTGTGAACCTTTCATAGATTAAATTCGCTTATTACAAATCAGTTCGACCTTTTGCAAATCAAATTCAATAATCTACTAATCAGTTTCAAACTTGTGCCAATCATATTTTCCTATTTGCGAATCTTTCACAAGATAAATCCACTTTGAGCAAGTCAATTCACTATATTTGCAAATCAAATCCAATCTTTTGCGATGGTGGGACCATTCGTAAATTAAATTTTCAAATAAAATTCACCTGTTTACAATGCATTCATAAATAAATTTCACCAATTTGCAAATCGAATTCAATATTCTGTAAATCAAATTCATCCGTTTGTATATCCAAACCTTTTACAAATAATTTTTTATAGCTTTCGTAAGAAAAATCAAAATATAAAATTATGTGTTAAGAAATTTTAAAATTTAATTTATTACAAACATGCACATCAAATGTTTAATAGCAATTACTAACTCATTAAATATATGTGTGTGGAATTCACAATTAGATAGCACATTATAGCCATTTTCAGATTAATTTGTGTCATTTGAAATAATGTCAATTTAATCCGGAAACTTTTAAATTTAATGAATTAAATCAGCAAGTGATGAGTGTGAAATGTCGGAAATGCAAACTGAAGAGCTTGTTGTTGAGAGATAAGCTTGTTTGATATTTTTATTTATCGTTTCTTTTTTAAGGGAGAAATATGGCCCCATAAAAAAAAAGAAAGTTGATGATGGCTCTTTGCAACCGAAACGTCGCAATGAAAATGTGACATACAGTGACATTCCTCGAAAAAATTGTTTGGAAGAAATGTTTTCAGATTTTAATAATTCCTCTGAATAAAAACGTTACAGACGATTTTCGAAAATGCCGCAAATTTTTTTCAAAATTACTCAAAAACCTGAAGAGCTAGGACCGGCTTGCAAGCGCCATTAAGTTAGCAATAGAACTGTCTAAAACTTTCTCCATTTAACCGTTTTCCTATCTCTTATAATTTCCAAGATACCAATGCATCCATCACCAAAATGATACACACTGCAAAATAGAACTTTTTAGACTTAGGAACAGTAAGTTCACTTTTTCTCGAAAATGGTTACTTAAACAAGAATACCTTTTTATAAATTTTTTTTATTAACATTTAACATAGAGCTGTTTGATTTTTAGAAAAATCGTAAATAAAAAAGTTTTTATCAATTTCCTAGTTCATATCAACGGTTCACAGTTTTGTCGATTATCTTTTTTCGCTGATGGATTTTGTCACCGAGAGTAAACCAAATTAAAAAAATCGCTTACCTGTAAGGAAGCTATAACAAAAATTTTTATTTAAAAAAGAAATAACCTCGTGGTAATTCCGTCAATATTGAGTTTTTGGAAAAGTGTCATAGAAAGTTGTACTATTATTGTTATGAGTTGAGATCACTTTCTATATTTTTCGGGCATACCTGTATTTCTGGAATGGATACTACATAGACCTCAAATTTGATGATTTGATTTGATTTGATTTGCCTCTAATTAGCTACCTACATATATAAAAATTTCCACAAAAACTAACTAGTTTCTCGAAATTAGAAGGAAGATTGCAACCTAAAGAAAAGTGATTTGACATACGAGAGAATCTACATTTACAAATTTGGAAAACTATTTTTTTTACTTTTTTTTTCATAGAATTAATTAATTCACGATTAAAGTCAATTGATTAAAATTGATTTGTATTTCGTAGTAGGTATATCTCTGATCTTTGAACATTCCTTTCAACGTTGCTGTTGCACCCTGTATAAAAGTTTGTATTAATTACCCCTCAACAGTCTGAATAAAGACAAGAAAATGTTAAATTAATTATAGAATTATATCAGAAAAGTATTGGAGGAAATGGGTGTAGGAACTTATTATTATGGAATTAGAAATGCGATGATCACTGAGTGTTTTAAGTTATAATTTTTCTTTTACAGATCGTTGCTCGTTTATAGCCGCTTACCATCACTATTAGGAAGTATAAATATGGACTTCCGTCTTTAGTTTCTATACCGTCGAATATTTTTTTTAAATCTGTCATTAGTTACTTACTTAAATATGAACTGCTATATTTGCAAGGAAATTCTATAATTTCTGAATTTAGAATCTTTCATTTCCCCAATGCTGTGCCATATTTTTTTTTGGATCTTCTCAAAGATGTAGAAAAATAAGTTTTGCTCACCATAAGAAGACAAATTTATTAAACTAATAATACCCGTAAGTTTTTGATCAGATCAATGAGGCAATACTTATTTTCTGACACGTGAGTATAGTAAAAGTATACAGACAACAATATGGGATGAATCAAAGAACCAGTTAATGAAAACCCGATGAAGAAAATTACTTCCAACGTTGATGACAAACAATAAAATATAAAAATAGTAAAATCGTTTCCACAAAACTTCAAATCGTTCGCAAAAACTCAGATGATCTTTCAATCTTTGCAAATCAAATGCACCTGTTTTTAAATCATACTCAACTTTTGACAAATCACATTCACTCTTTTACGAACCAAATTTAACCTTTTGCAAATCAAATTCATTTTGTTCGGGTTCTGTAAAACGTAGATTTAATATTCTATTCTATAGGATAAGTGATATAAAAAATATATCATGAATATGTCATGTTAGTGGGTGATGAAGTGGGCGGGAATCTAAAAAAAAACATCCTGTGTTTTTAGAAAATATTTTTGAATACCTGGGAAATGGTTGGGTTTTCAGCATAACATCAGAAAAGAAATAAATTTGGTTTCTCGAATTTCCTGTTCAAATTATTTGGATTATATTTATCAAATAGACTTCGGTATGTCTTACTTAAAGGGTGTAAGTTTGTGGATTACTCATGATCAGCCAGATCTGGAGTTCCACAGGGATCTGTTCTTGAGCCCTTACTATCCAACATTTTTTTCAATTATGTAACCGATTGTTTAGATATTAATTACCTTCTCTGTGCTGATGACTTGAAAATATATTTAACCATTGAGAATTGTATTTAATTACTCACTATAATTCACTTTAGTCCAGTCAATGACCATTTTGCCGTATAATTTTGCCAAACAGTACCGATTTTCATAAAAATTTGGATTTAGGTTCTACTTACCCTCTACTTCAAAGTTGATCTTGTCCGGGGGTTGCTTTTACCCTGGGTGTGGATGCCACCTTCTCGGGGGTGAAAAATGTTTCATTAAAAATAACTCC